TAAATTTGATGTTGAGCAAATGTATTTTCTTTTTTATAAAATGTATTGAATATGAAAAGCATGCTGTTTTTCCAATAACTTAGAATGGAAAACTTCAGTGTGTATGAAAGTCTGTGTAGATTTTAACTTAAAAAATAAAGACAATCACAAAACTTTATATATTTTTACTATCCAGTAAACAGGTTCTGAGAGAAAACACTGCAATACATATCGCTTCAAAGGCATATTGTGATATACTGTTATACCGGTATACCGATAAAACTGTGCAGCCCTAGTGAGCGAGTGAGTGAGTGAGTGAGTATTGTTTTACGCCGCTTTAGCAATATTCCAGCATCATCATGGCAGGGGACACCAGAAGTGGGGCTTCACACATTGTACCCATGTGGTGAATCAAACCTGGATCTTCAGCATGACAAGCGAACGCTTTAACCACTAGGCTACCCACCACCCCGCAGCCTTAGTGCTATGTGGCATATCTGTTGAGGTTTTAGTATTACTGTATAGCTGGTTGGTGTTTAATGACACACTCAGCAATATTACAGCAATATTGCAGCAGTCTGGACCAATCCAGTGATCAACATTATGAGCATCGATCTATCCATTTGGGATACAATGACATGTATCAACAAAGTCGGCGAGCCTGACCACCCGATCCTATTAATCGCCTCTTACAAGCTTACGACATGGGTTGCTGAAGACCAATTCTAATCCAGATCTTCACAGGTATATTGCATAGAAATGAAACGCTTCATGTTATTTTCATATACTAATATTACCATGGTTACCACACACCTCAAGTTATTGCACATATATTATGAGAGATATCTCGTTCAAGTTCTTTACATTATATCAGAAAGTAAATAAACCATTAGGTTAAGATGTGCATGCAGAGAGTGCAATCTCTTCCACTCTGTTACAACACAGCTCTGTATTTAGATCTGAGGAAATCCAATTTAAATAAAGGATATGTGGATTCTTTAGCCAATCAGATTGCAACTTTCAAAAAATGATATTGATGAAATAAAATCCATGCAGGGCACAAAATGCCTTCAGTGGTACAGCCTTTTGGGTGTAGATGCCATAGAGCTTAGAAATGAAGGGTGTATGTAATGGGAGCTCCATTAGAATACAGACCAACAACTTCTCAAGAGGACGATCTCACTAAGACAAGTTAGATCGTCAAGTGAGATGTGAGATGTGAGAATCTGTTGCAAGCAATCATGTGAACTTTGGATTAGTAGTCAGTAGTTCTGTTACGATTCACTTGTGTATTCAGTGAATTGAACAATATCCTTTCATGAATTCAATTCATTATACATGATTACTAGAATAGAATACTTACGAAGATTTGTAAAAAGGGTGTTTTTACTTGGCGCTCGTCTGTTATTTATTAAAGTGAGACATGCAAAATTATATATATACAAGCAATGCAGTAGTTAATCTTACCATAAGAAATAACTGTCTGTAAAATCATAAACGTTTCCTTGTACTATGGGTCTGATGGCATTTACTGAACTATCATCTTGCCATAAGTGGCATTGCCACAATGTTTTACTTTTTTGCTCTACAAAATATATTGAAATCATTCAACTGAAGCATGTACATGACATGTTTGCTGTTTCTATTCATCGATAATAAACAATGTATTCATGAATAAATGTGTGAAGCCCATTTCTGGTGTCCCCTGTCGTGATGTTGCTGGAATATTGCTAAAAGCGGCGTAAAACCAAATTCAGTCAGTCAGTCAGTCATGAATAAATATTCATATTTGTTACCCTATATTCAAGACACACATCATATTTGCCTCACAGTCTATTGATTACAGACAGATAACTAATTTATCTACATCCACACAGGTAAACTATGCATAAATGTATCCAGTCACACTAATGATATTACGGAAATGATCAAATAGGGTTGAACTGGTGATGGACACTTATGAGAAGTCATTGGTAGGAAGTCTTGTGACTTCAGTGTAGAGTGACCCATTTGAGACAGTCTTCACATTCCATAATCAACAAGAAATGTTGTGGTAAGAAATGACCTGATATGGCATGAGCTGAAAATGGTAGTTGGTGTCTAATGATGAATTCATGAGCATGTGAATGACAGGTTCATTAATAATTCGTTGGGTGATTATATGACCAAAAACTGTGGAAGAGAATACTGTAAGGGCAACATGGACTACAATACACTGAGGAATACATAGGCATGGCTACAGACATTACAGGGTTGAGTCAGCTTTTGACTCATTAATGAACAAATGTTGTGAGAAAAAGCATGCATGGATGTACCAGGAAGGTCCCAAAGTATTCAACACTAAACAATTTTACCCATCTCTCTATGTTTATGCTTGAATAATAGCATAAATTATACTTAAAATACAAAAAGCAATACCAGAAAAGTATGTGCATGAACATGATCAATGTTTTAGCTCCCTCTCTTTAAACTGCATGAAAAGACACCCCGACTGATCCAGACCTCTTACTTTACTTATTGTCATATAACAAAACGAGAGGCTCCAAATCTAAATGTTTGATTACAAAATATGCTTAGGGTGTGAACTGTAAATAATTGTACACCCATTAAACTGTATTCTGCTGCATAATAGTAAAAATTGCAGATTTAAAAAAAATATATCCTATGTATATTAATCATTTATAATTTATTTATAAACCTTTCAGACACACGAATTGAGCTGAAACAGTAAATATACTGAAAATAATAGGGATTTAAATAACTACAGCTTACCTCGTCATAGGCTATTTTTATAGTCTGTTTGCAGTGAAAACGTACCAATGAATTTCACTTTAAACAAAAACGTAAATTAAAAAAAGTGAAATTAGAAGTACAAGTCCTCCTGATTTTTTACCTTGCCAATTGAACATTTAAATCTCAGAATTTTATTCAACTTAGGATAAAAGTTGTTTAAAAAACGATCATAGTTTCAAATCGCTATTGTTGGTTTGTATTACAAGGGGTATGCACATTAAATGAAACACCGAGAAGAAGTAGGGTTGGTCTAAGTTAACGCTCATCACGTACTGCACGTGCATTTGTATCACTGTTCCAATTACTGCGTTTACTCCCTTGTAATACAAACCAATAATAGCGATTTGAATCTATGATCGTCTGTTAAACAACTTTTATCCTAAGTTGAATAAAATTCTGAAATTTATATGTTTAATTGGCAAGGTAAAATTATGAGGATTCGCAATCTTAATTTCACTTTATTTGATTTACTTTAAAGTGAAATTCATCGGTACATTTTCACTGCAAACAGACTATGGTTATCCAAAACTGAAAACTATTAACATCACTGGGCTTTTCCAATGTAACCTAAGCAGCTTTGTTGCTTGGCTAAGTCACAGATAATTATTTCACAAGTGTAATTTGCACAAAGATTTAATAAATTACACCAAAGGGTATTCTAACGTGTTTGTAAACTATGTATTGCTGAATGCTAAAGGTAGGGTTATATATGCTGGTCTGAATCTTTCTAAACACAGAGAGGTATTGAAGAAGAGATCATTGTCTAGTTTGAAGCAGAAAACAGTATGAAAAGAAAATCAGGGCAAAAGGTAATAATCTGCAATGTTTTGTGAGTGCAGAACTGAAATATTCAGCACCTCTAGTTAAAGAAAATCTGTCACATTAAAAAATTCTTAATGCAAGACCTGCTCTGTCTGATACGAGAACATATTTCATTATTTTAAACTCCATATGTATATCCTGCATATATCCCAAAAGCGAGCTGAATTCGACGTTTTGGTGTTTTTGATGATTGCATTGCTGGCGTTATATCGGGGGAGTATGTGTGCGATCGGTGAGCACAAACAATTTCATCGGCAGGGCGGATGCCCAGTCACTGTCGTCAGGAGTGTTTATTGACAATTGAAAACCGGAAGTTAAGTTCTTTAAAAAGCAAACAAACATCAATATTATTTACCCGAGATCGTTAATACCACTTCAGATGCAAAATCAATTGCCTTTATAACAAAAAATAGCAAGCGAAAAATTCAGTAAGATCATTCGTCTGCTGGTGACAGGCAATATTTAAATAGAAAGCCACGTTATCACAACACTCCCTCGCAGTGCGGAGCAAAAAGTATGGCTCATCGTCGAAAACCCATACAAAATCCATGGACATGGCGAACGGCAACAGTTTCGCCGATACGATGTCATCAACCTTATTTTTGTAGGAAACACTTGATATTTTTGTGAAATAGTTGATTATGTCCTTTATAACCCAAGGTTAGTGAAATTAAAACTTCAAACGATATTACAGATAAAAATTACGTTTTTTGTTTTACATCGTCGAAAACCCCTGATACAGGGATACACGATTATCATTTCGAGTAGTGTCTTGTAACTTATACAAATGATACACATTGGTTTGATCTCTGATAAACTTACTCTGCAAATGCCACTCACAGGAATTCATGTTAGCGAGCATAGTATAATATTTGATAATTAAAATATCATATTCCTCCATACATATAGACTTGAGAGAACATATCAAGTTATACAGGCTAATGTCGAATTCCTGTAGTGCTTGTGGACTGCAATCGTTCACGATTTGTTGACATTGACAACTCTCATTTACCTTTCCTGTCATTTGTGAGTAGAAAAACATTGTATAAGCTGACTGTTATTTCTCTTCACTGACGTCTGGCGATTTCTTGATTAACTTAAGTTCACTTGACTTGACTGACACGTGAGTGCAGTCACTTGTAACAGTAAAATGTTGACCTCGCACCTGGTAACCATTAACGGAAGTAGTTTTATTGGCAAAATGGACATCCGGTTCTTCGGGCTGAATATAATGCCTCTTCAGACCGTGATGACCGGAAGATTATGAAAAATATCTTTCCCTTGTAATGTTGTTAAATAACATGTAGTGGATCAATTTCCTGTCTGTAATACTTTATTTGTGACATACATATTTTTCATTGGTAGATAATTATATTCCATCGTTCTCTATTTCTCTTTAATTTTAGGCAGGAAGAGGAAGAAGACGCAAGATGGCGGACGATTGGCGACTGTGCGTTGAGTGGCTCGTCAGGTGCCAGATTTTACCAGAAGACCACAAAGCCACACGGTCTGATGCAAATGCCTTTGATTTAGCACAAGCTCTCCGAGATGGATCTCTAATTTGTCATTTGCTAAATCAACTATGTCCCGGAAGCGTCGACTTGAAAGAATTCAGCCCGCGTCCTCAAATGTCGCAGGTTTGTTTGTGTTATGGGTCTACCTAATTTATATCCTGGTTGTTACTATTTTTTGCCAGGTGATTCTTGGCTACGTAAATTAGATAAGTAAGTGTCTCATACTTTCTTCTGTTTCAAATACATCCAATGATACACTGGAGCTACTTTCATTAGTGGTACACAAACCATATGTACTTCTGACAGTTTCAGCATTCCCTTCTTCCTTCTTTCATGTACTTGTTGTGAAGAGCACCTGACAGGCCTCCAACCTCTCAGTGTTGTCCTCATCATTGGCTATTTTCATTTTTAACAGTTTCATATGTTATTCTTGATGATTAGGAACATTATCATAATCCAGTGTTGGGGTGTCAAGTTTCAGTTGTAGTGTAGAAGTTATGTATTTTGTGGAAAAAACCCATTTGTCATCAAACAGTTCAGTTAATACATGTTTTCTGCATGTATTTTATAACCAAAACTAGGGTTCTTGGTGAATGGAATGAGCTCAGTAATGTATTGTCATCTGCTGATTATTACTTCATTATTCACTTAGTTTAACAAATGTTGACAGCCATGTTAACTATTGATCATTGATCATATAAACTTCATTCAAAGTGATCAATTGTATTTTCATTGTATCTGTTGCTGTTAGTATTTTGCAGACATTTCTGGCCTTGTTATTTATTTTGTCATTTCTCAACTTAAATCTATGGTTGCATATTATTAATGTTAATGATAGAATGTGTTTGTCTGTGATTATATCAAGAATCAGGAATATTGCACTTTACCTATCATACCATATCATGTAAAAGTAAGGTGTAAACTTGGCATTAAAATTTCACCTATGGATTTAGTTTTTTATGATTAGTGGTAAATGGTTTTGTTTGCCAATGTACATGATGTAACTTGTAATGGATGACTGGGTTTTATACCCACTTGCCAGTAATTTTACACCATCACATAATATGGAATTCATGAATACCAGAGAATTTAAGAAAACAAGGTTAATACATGATTCCTAATTGCTTGACAAAGGGTCAGGTATTGTATCTCTATAATTCTAACAACCCATTGCCTACATGTCAAAGGTTTTGAGTCTGCAACCCTCATGCTCTGTACTACTGCTATTTTTTAAACTTTATGATTAATCTCATCCTGTAGGGATACAGGATTGGTATGGGTTCCCATTAACCTATCCTAGTTCCACAATCACTACAACTGGAATATCGTTTGACTACAGCAATGGATTCAGGAATAGTGTCATTTGCCAAAGTTTTTTAGATCAAGTGTAATGAGTAAACTGAGTTAACGTTTTTTTCAAACTCAAGGCTTTTGACCCCGATTAACACAGCTAACCATGTTGACAGTGACATGAGTGCTAGGAAGTATGGCTGAAGAAGTACCAGTATGGCTGTTGTTACAAGTTAAACTAGAGATTGGAATTTAAACTAAAGCCAGAATCAAATAATTGTATCTGGCAAAAATGAGTGAACCGTGAAACTTAAAGGAAACACAACAGGATGGTATTTTTAACTACTGTATTGAGAAAAAAGCCTAAGTGATGTAAATTGTAATGAGTTCTGTTTTGTATCGGAAGTAGCAGTCTGCAAAATGTTGCCAAAAAGCATCTACTGGGCTTATCTGAGTTAGATTATGGAAATTCATTAACTCTCTCAACAGTAGACTGCCAGAAAGTAAAAAGTTCTTGTAAAAGTTGTCAAGCTTACATCTGAGTCACAAATTCTAGCATTTCGTGTGAACGTGTAATGTAAGATCTTTACACTATGTTTAAATGCCTTTTTAATGCGAAAATATGAAAAACTTTTGTCACAAGTTACAACATAGGACAATATGTCCACAAAGTTCCATATTTTAGGTATAGATAGCAATTTCCTGCTCATAAATACATTCAGAATAACACATTTTAACCAAAATATTTTATCTTAATCTGAAACTGAAAGTTGCCATACAGAAGTATGGTATCCATTGTGGTAATGTGATTGGCTGCGTTAGGACACATACTTGAATTTGACCAATAACTATCCTTACAACAGATTACATCCTTAGAAAGCAGTAATTATCCAGTAAAATCACTTGTTACATTTATGGAAATACTCCTGTCAAGGTAAATAATGTAATTTTTATGTTCAGATACCAAACATCAAACAAATGTTTTCACAAGTTTCGAAAAAACCCAGAAGTTCTTCCAGTGTTGTCTCATATTACTAAGAAGGACGATGGGGTAGCCTAGTGGTTAAAATGCTCGCTCATCACACTGAAGACCCAGGTTCGATTCCCCACATTGGCACAATGTGTGAAGCCCATTTCTGGTCTCCCCTGTCATAATATTTCTGGAATACTGCTAAAGCGGCATAAAACTGAACTCACTCATTTTGCTGAGCGGAAAGTCACTGTTATCGGAAAAATCGACAACCATGCACATTATGTAAGAAAATCTTTTTCCAGTTACCTAAACCTAAAAAGATACAAGAGAAATAGTTAAGAGGATATTTTGATATTAACAACAAGCAAAAATCATCATATTTTTCACTTCTTCTATGCTTTTTCATTTGGATGTTATGAATGTATAAACGTAATTTTGAAAAAGAAAAAACTTAAGTTGTAATTGCATTATTTTGATATTGTGAGAAAACTAACATTCAGATTATTTAACAGTAGCTGTAATTGTGATTCTAAGTTCTTGGTTTTAGTACTTGTTATTTGTGCTCTTATTGTAAAGAAATCCACTGATATTAGCAGGATCTCATTCCATGTAATGAGATATGTTGCAATATTCAGAACTGTATCTGAATTTCTAGCTCTTGTCAACTGCTTATTTTGTAAAACTAAAATTGAAGGGATGTCCTGGGTTTCTTGTGGCTTGTTCTGTAGTATTTTAACATTGTAACCTTTAACATTATGGTTATTGTGAGGATCCTGGTCTTATATGTTTTCGGCCGGTTAGCCAAATGGTTAAAGCGTTGGCTTATCAGACGAAGGTTAGTAGGGTTCTATAATTCAGAATGCATATTATTTTAAAATTGTAATTCAGTGAGTTAGTCAATATATGTTCAATTTCAAACACTGCATGCATGTATAATTTTTAAAAGATGTATAAAAATGATCAGATAAGTTATATTTTTTAGAAAAGGGAACATCTAGTTGAAAATTACTCTTGTCTGTGAGAACATTTCCATTGAACATGATCTCAAATCATTTCCAAATTAAAATCTTAACACATCCTTCCTTCTGAATCAATTGTGTTGTCATTTAGTTTGGGTAGACAACGTCTGACCAGAAAACAAGTTATGTAAATGGTGAAAAATGCTCTCAGATTAAACACCCATTTTTGAAACAAAACTTTTAATAGTCATTGCTTTAGAATGTCTTATCATACCTGTAGCTGTTATGCATTTTGAGACATGTCTGTTGATCATTTCAGAATCCATTTTGACCATATTGACATGAACTATGTATAAATATTACTGTATTCATCATCCATACCCTAGGTACTTGGATATGTAAAGAAGGAAGAAATTGTACAAGAAACCTACACTGGTCAGATTTGTTATCAGATATATCTTTCATGGCTGAGAACCAATATAGTTCAAACTTTGATAGGGCTGGCTATCGATCTGGATCATAGAGGTTGATAATCATTAAGTGAATATTGATCAAGTATCAATAAACATTGGAGAAGTAGCTTTGAGCAAAAATGGTATAAAAGTCTTGATCTAATCAACATATTTCCCATTACTTCTGACTGATGACACATTTAGCCTTGGGTTGCTAACAAAACAGGGTGGGGTAGTCTAATGGTTAAAGCGTTGGCTCGTCACACCTGAAGACCCGGGTTCAAATCCCCACATGGGTACAATGTGTGAAGCCCAGTTCTGGTGTCCCCCGCCATGATGTTGCTGGAATATTGCTAAAAGTGGCGTAAAACCAAACTCAGTGCTAACAAAACAGCATCCTGAACATAATTTGGAAGCAGTCCATGAATAAAAACATAACCTTGTGTTCTGTCAGAGTAAATTGACACTATATTCATCACAATAGCTTCCATGTGATATTATCGGTGACACAATTTTCATATCGATTATATTTGTTTGTTTTTCATATCGATATTTTTCATTATCAAACATTTTAACCACTTCTAAACTTTGATGAAACTAAAACCTTTTATGTTATGCATGTTAAAATAGTGGACTATAGTACTGTCGGAAATAGAAAAAAACTGTTTTTAGGCTGTTAACCTGTATCCCTAAAATTGACACAATTGCAAATAGCATATGTCGAAATAACCCACTTCGGCCTAACTGGGCGGTCAGTGGAATGCGTAATACGATATCCAGAAAAGCATGTTTACTCGTAAAATCGGGCAAAACTTAGAAAAATACGAATAGCTGCTGAAAACAATAGATCAGACTATAGATGGCAATTAGGTCGCTCAGCCAGGTATGACGACGGACCGTCGACTCGCCTAGCATGAAATGCACGTGCTGCCTACAGGCACAAGGGGTCATCTCAAAATCTCAAATCTATTGATTAACATCTTACGTGTCTTTCTTTCATATAGTTGCATATAGTTTATGTTGAGATATTTAAAAGAGTATGATACCCGAAAACCATAGAACCGCTTCGTAGCATATAGGTGGCATGACCACCCGAAGATCGACAGGACTGGATATTATTTGTAAATTGTTATGACGTGCCGTGTACCTCCCCAGTATAGTTGCCCTAAAGGATTATCTTATCTTAGCTGATATCTTTATCCCCAAGCCCGACCCCAGGTTTTGCTTTTGAGGCGACCCCTCCTATCTGTTTCTTTTTATAGTGACAGTGAGATTGCATGGTAGCTACATCCTTAATAGTTTCGGCATAAAAGTTATTATTTTTTATGTCAGCTATCGTTTATAATGAATCTACGTCTAATTTCAAATTGGGCATTTAAAAAGTGTCCTTTGTAATACAATATCGTCGCACACTAATTTGCATAAAGCCATGGTCTGTTCCAAATATGTCTTTTTGGACTTAGAAAAAAACCGCATTGGTCATTTCTGCACTGATCTCTCCTCAGTAAAGTCCTTTTTCTCCGTTTCCTATCTCTCTACCACTGAGACTGTAGTAAGGCCGAACCTAGTTTCACAGATATTTCACACTTTCACATATCAACTACATAAATTGTAGATATAAATGAGAAAATACAGTTTTTTTCTATTTCCGACAGTACTTTAATACTTATTGTCAGTTGGCTGTGACATTAAACTATGCTTTCAATAGAATCCAGATTTACTTTTGTGAACTAAAACAAATGGTTAATAAACCTTTGATCATATTGATAGAAACAAATGCCTTGCATTACCTAAACCATACCTAAACCAATCAGAATAATATCTTCAAGGCAAAGTTTTCAAATACGGAGGTTAATCTGAACACATGTATTTATTGTTGAGTTGCAACAAATTCAAGTGTGTCTGTATTTCACCTCCTGTTGACAGTGATTGTAAAGCAGTGTGCAGAATGTTTACAAGTGCATGACAGTTTTTACGTGTAAATTGTTATGCTTAGTTAAACTGTTTAAACATGATGATTGATATTATATTTCTTTTCTCTTTTTTTTTCAGTTTTTGTGTATGAAAAATATTCGCACATTTCTGCAGACATGCAAAAAGTCTTTTGGATTACATGATATGCAGCTCTTCCAACCGCCGGACCTGTTCGATGTGAAGGACTTCCGAAAGGTAAACCCAACAAGCTACATTAGGGCCTAAACATGTTCACACATAATTATTTTTGAGTTTTCTAAATGTTGGTATATGGTGTTATTTTTAGGAGAGAACAGTCATACCAGGATTAACGTCATTAAACCATTAGCTCTGAAAATGCTGGATACTTTTCCATCAGCAGCAGCATATGAACAAGTATTATTTTATTCATGTATAGTGTAGTGGAAAATTGTTTAAGTGATATAAGTATATTTTTAAACTTATCCTATCTCACGACTTGCACCTCTCTCTCTTCATTTGACCATGAGTGGAAACGAATTAAACTTTGCTCCAGGCCTACCTTGTCCCTGTCCCCGTGCTGTGCATGCCTTCCTGCCTTAGCCATGCTCACTAGTCCAGTGACAGCACATGGCATGCGCAGTCCCCACCCACGTGATCACCTTACCTTACTCACTCATTCTCTTTCTTGTTGCTCGACAGAGTGGACATGAAATTTTTTTCGTCTGAGAATTGCTCAACATGGATAAGCCTGTTCAGGCCAGAAAACGAAAGTTTTGCGCTCAGTGTAATAAAGTCTTTTCAGCTTGGGACCCACACACATCGTGTGTTGATTGTGTGGGTTGTTGTGATTGGGACAAACGTTGTCCTAAGTGTTCAGGACTGTCTAACTAAGGAGGATTTTAAAGCTTACTAACATGCTTGTGCCAGACGCTTGGCAGATAGGGCCAGGAATGTTTCTGCGGGATCTGGTCCATCTCCCGCTAAAAAACAATGTTTAGTTGGCCCCACCCTACCTGCTCGCCGTTCTAAATCTCTCGTCTCTCCTAACGAGGATTTTATGGACGCTTCGCCTGATTCCTATTTGTCTGAGAATGTTAAAGGCTTTTTGGGATGCTTCCCTCACCTAGCTCAAGTGCTCATGGGCATGCAAGGGTGGTAATGACTGATATTTCCTCTACACAAGACCTGCGATCTACTTTATCTCGTAGATCCGTTTCTTCAGACCGTTCAAAGTCCTCGAAAACTTCTAAATCCAAGCATTCATCATCGAAGCGTGGATCGGTACGGTTGGAACGTAACCATTCTCCTCTCCTTACGGTTTCATCCCACCGAAACAATTCACCCACACGAGTTGAGTCACCATCTGGTTCGGAGGTTCAAATTTGTTCTTCTACTGCTGGGAAGTGTCGTTCTAGATCTCATTCACGCTCAAGCTCTCGTCCTTCCAATGTACCAGTCCGAACCGATTTACCACCTCGATTCATTTCACCAATCAGAATTGGGTCTAATGCCAGTGTTGGTTCACTAGAACGGAACCATTCACCTAGCCGTGTCATTGCCAAGGGTCGAATGAGTTCACTCAGCCGAGCCGGCTCACCAGACCGAACTGATTCACGTAATCGAATGGATTCACCAGGACGAACTGGTTCACATTCCCGACTCAATTCAACTCAACATATGTTTCAGTTCGACTCACCATCTCATAGTCGAATCAATTCACCACAGCGTTTTGATTAACGTAGTCGTTCAGTCTCACCTAGTTGAAGTGGTTCGCCATTTCGATCCGGTTCACCTAGCTGTACAGTGTCTTTTCGTCAGAGTGATTCTCGTAGTCGGTCTCATTCACCTCAGGTGAATCAGGATATCCCGTCTAGTCAGTCTAGAGCTAGTGAGCACTTGCGGTCAGCGCCTTTACGTGATAGTTCCCCTCATCAACATTTTCTGTGCGGGTGGTTTCACCTGCTAGGCTGTGTTATGGTTCAGTGGATCAGTGTTCACCTTCACGCCATGCCACTTCTACTTTGCCTCGGTCACAGGTTATTGCTGAGTCTTGGAATCCTGCGCTTGATTCCTCTCCAGCGGATTTAGACAACATGCTTCGTACTGTTGACCTTAAGTAGCGTAATTTTGCGCACACTGTAACAATATTTACTTCCTCGGATCCCCACTCGTCATGTGTGGGTTGTATTGACCTGTGTTCCTGGAGCAAACGTTGTCGGAATGTGCCCCCTTATCAAGGACGTTTTTAGAGCATGTAGACATGCTTGCTCCCGTTGGCTGGCAGACAGAGCTCGTTACACTTCAACAGTTGATCACCCGACAACCCCCGCTTTTAACGACCAGTATTAACTGCTCGTCATCCAGAGATTCCCATGTCGGACGGTGATGATTTTATTGGCGCATCTTCAGATGTCTACTCGTCGTTCCGCCTCATCAAACCGCTCTGTGTTGCCAGCTGACTCACACAACCGATCTACATCGTCAAATCTCTGAACCGATTCACCACACCAAATCGGTTCGCCATACCGAATTGATTCACCAGACCGAACCGTTTCGCCACGGCGTATGTGGATTACAACATCGACTCAATTCGCCATAATTTTAAGACTGTTTCTTATCGCCGAAACGGTTCACATCAATTCACAGCAGCGGAACGGCTCGCCTGGCTGTAACGGCTCTCTTCACCGAAATGATTCACCTTGTTGAACCAATTCACCTCGGCCGGAACATTTCACCTACCCTCACCGGTTCATCCGATCGTTCTAGATCTTTCCATCAGCTGAGATCATTTAAACGTTTTGGATTACCAAACCGATCCAGATCACAACACATCACCGATCCAGATCACGGACTGATTCAGATCATATCAACATTCCGGCTCACCACCCTGAACCGATTTACCAGCCTGACTCGTACCGTTTCACCAGGCCGAACCGCTTCCTATCGCCGAACCAGTTCACCTGGCCGTTCAAGATCACTGAATTGTCAGCATTCATCGAACTGTCAACATTCGTCAATAATATATTGAACTTATTCACGAATTGGGCGATTCACCACTCGTGTTATTTCCAAGACGGCACATCTTACCAGCCTATCAGAGCCTATGCGAAATGTGTCTGGGATGCCTTCCAAGACACTTCACCCACATTGAACCTCGTCTTTGTTTTCATGGTTCGGGCTATGCCAGTCGCCTATAAGATGCACGAATGGTTTTGGTTGATTCCACACACATGATCGCATGGTTCGCTGACCACCTACAGCTACCTAGAGCAAGATACCAGATGTTCTATTGATTACATTCAACATTAAGGATCGGGACTTGTCAACACTGATTTTTAACATCCTCAACGAGGTTCGTGAACTTGCATCTAGATAGGGCCAAATTTGTCGAACTCTGCTAGTTTTCAACACGATCCTAGTTTCCAGGGTATCTGTGAGGCACTGAATTCTTCATTACAAAGTGGCAAGCTCTAAGCTCGTCAATTTTTATTTGTTTATCCGGTTTACCTTACGGCTTGTGAGGCGCTTAATGTTTTTAGTCACATAACTTATCCCACCTTGTATCCCTTTTTTGGCTAGTTGAACAGAGGTAGCAGCTATGTGCTTTACCATGCCGAATCGATTTACATGTGATGTAGACGCAGTCATCTGGACATATCACGCTCGGCACTTGACGGTCTGACGATTCCAGTTCTCAACAGTCCTCCGTGACCGGGGATCATCTCATTCCAGATTTAATCTACCATCCGATCTTCACCTTTGATGAATGATTCGGTTCAACGAATCTACCCTTCGGTGTAGATATCAGTTCTACAACCACCAGATAGGGCATTACTAGATAAGCTTGCTAGCAAGGAATACTTTACGACGTTTCACTGAGTCTTGTTACTACAAACTACTGGTAACAGCGTGTTTGTGTATCGCTGGGTGCAATTATTGCAGAGGGTTGGTCATCTTCAGCTCCCTTTGTTTTACATGATAAGCAAGTTTCTGGACAGATAACAGAGGGTGAAGTTTTTGCGCATGGTACCAGCAGTGATGTTTTGTCAAATAGCCAGCATAGCTCAGCCCGGAATTTATGGGTTGCCACTCGCCCGGTTAACCGAAGACTGTGGTGTCCGTCTTTTTTGTCACTCGTGTGTTATGTTTGCAAATGGCGGACTACTGTTTGTTTACCAGAATTTTGATGATTAGAGTGACTATGAAGTGCCCTTGCAGACTTGTCTTGGTCCCACGAATCGGATATCAAGTCCAGCCTTTAAATGCTAGTAACAGTGAACGGTGCCATTCCCGGTAAGAGTGATTGTGTCGGGATTTCGACAGCCAGTCGAGAGAGACTGCTTATCGAGGGTGACAGACAGAAACACCCGTGAACGGTTTGACATTTGCTGGGGTTACTCGGTTTTCTACACTAGCTCAAGCACTGAGTTCAGAGGTCACTGCAGTTATGCATGGACTGTCACCAGGCAGCGATCTACTACCTTTCTCACTCCACCTGGCGAACCATCATTTTGTTCGGCCAACCGAAACGTTCCTGAGGTCGCCGATCGTAACGTTCGAATTTCTTCAATTCGTTTACAATGTGAACGTTCCTGTAGATTGACTGACAATCTCCATGCGCCGAACATACTACATTCAGCACTCCGTTAGAACTGACATAGTAGCTCAACTTATTGAACGTTCTTATCTCAGGAGATATCTCTTTGTCAGAGGCAAGAGTTGTTAGACCTCTCATTTCCATCGACCTGCGAGGCGCCTACCTTCACATCCCGATACATCCAGACTATCGGAAGTATCTTCAATTTACTTTCAAGGGGCATCATTGATACCAGTGGAGGGTCCTGCTGTTTGGCATATGTACGGCCCCGTGGCTTTTTACTCGGGTACCCAATCCGATAACAAGCTACCTGCATTGTCTAGTCGTGACATTCGAAAACTATATAGACGACTGTGTTCAAGCCCGGCAGGATCCAGTCGTCCTTCCTCTCCACAGGCAGTTCGTCATCAAGTTGCTCACGCAATTAGGATGGCTGCTGAATTCGGAGAAATCAGAGGTAACAACAACCTGGTCATTACTTTTTTATTGGGACAATATTCAACACGACAGGTCATGATGTTTTTGTGCCCCAGGAGAGGTGGGACAAGATTCAGTGCAACGCACCACTAGTACTGGTCCAACCCACAACTTTTTGCCAGTGGCAGAAGTTACTAGGGTCGTTGACGTCGGCACAAGCGCTGACTTACAGGGGCCAGCTGCAGCTTTGCCCTCTTCAGATGTTTCTGTGCCCATACATCCGGGACGACAACCCCAGGGAGTTGATTCGTCTTCCCGCACAACTACATTCAGTCTTTCGTTGGTGGCTCAACAAGTGGAATGTTTGCGTTGGAGTCTCTATGGTGCCCTCCAAACCGACTCAACACCTGTTCGTCGACACATCTTTCAAGCTGGGGTGCTCACTTTCTCCATCAAGTGGCCTAGCAGTGGTCATCAGGAGAAAGGGCCCTTCATATCAACGAATTGGAATTCTGCACTGTCATTCTCGCCGTTTGGCATCGGGCAGTTGAAGTACGGTTCACTCATGTACTGATTCAATCAGACATTTCGATGGTAATGTTGTACATAAACCATCAGGGGTCGACAGGATCAGCAGCTCTGCTTCAGTTGATGTTTCGGAATTTATCATCTGATCGATTCACTCAACAAAGTGGCCAGAGCCCGACACATTCCCAGGATGAGGAATGTCATTGCCGATGCCCTGTCCCTCACGGAGTGGAAACAACTGCCTCTGATATTCCAATCGAAGATCTACCTGTTATCACGACCAGATGTAGACCTGTTCGCCACTCAGGACAACCATCAGCTTCAGCGCAGATGATCACCAGTTGTGATCGTTTCTGCTTTGTGTACAATCTGAATAAGATTCTGAATTATATTTCTGATTTGTGTCTTTGATTCTTCTGGGACTTGATTTCTCCTCTCAATTTAATTTGAGACTCTGGAGAATCGCCACCTCACTTACTGTCCTCTGCTCCACGGAGTAATTACGTAAGTGAAGTGACTCATTCCCGAAGTGTTACACTTCGTAGCGTTCATGCTCCTAAGTACCTATACACATCTATGTGATCTTACTGTGGTTAGTTGTGGAAGTCATAAGATGATGTTGTGGTTCTGAACTTTAAAATTGTGAGTTTTTCCGATTCAATTACCCTTTCATCCTCCACGGGACGGTGTCTGTGGGGGTTGTTTCAAAGCAGGGGCTGGCCCGATACTAGACGTTAGACTTTTATTACTGGAGTACCTTGAAAATCGTAGCGATGCGACTGATTACACTCACTAAGCTGCGTCCTTTCACTTTCGTGAAGGTAGTGACTGAACACCACATTGCTCGGGAATCACGATCCCTGGGAGCACTTGTGCTTAGTAAGTCAATGGGTTCAGACTAACCCTCGCATGTAGTAACTTTGGTAGTTATTGGCCTGCCTTGTAGTGGCTTCCTACGGTTGTTTCGGCATAACGCTTAGCTGTTATCGCTTGAACTTCGGGTAATCTATGACCCACCTTCCTACCGTGGGATAAGTGCAAGTCGTGAAATAGGATAAGTTTAAAAATTTGGAAATTTTAACTTATCCTATCTCACCCGATAAAGTCCCGCTCTACCTCCCCAATACTTAGATTACCACCGTTCCGGTTTTGTCCTTTTATGGCTCCAAGATCGAGAATGAGTATTGAAGGTGATCACGTGGGTGAGGACTGCTCATGCCACGTGCTGTCACGGACTAGTGAGCATGGCTAAGGCAGGAAGGCATGCACAGCACGGGGACAGGGACAAGGTAGGCCTGGAGCAAAGTTTAATTCGTTTCCACTCAAATGAAGAGAGAGGGGTGCAAGTCGTGAGATAGGATAAGTATATAAATATACAATTTATAGTTAAAATTTCCAATACTTACTCATTCATCAAGAAGAACGATATACACCAACAAAAACATTAGTGATGGGTTTTGAGTACAAGCTTTTATTCCAGACTGTTGGCTTGAAATCCTCAGATAAAAATTGTACATTTATCAGATTATATGATTAATACTTTGAAAAGCAACCTAAGTAATTTGGGACACACATCACCATCATGATCATATGACCAAATAACTTGGACATACACTAGACATATAGTTATCATAATATTTGTGTTTGATGTTATCAAAGATGTTTCTAATATGTTTCATTTCTGTTTTAGGTTCTGGAGACATTGTCAGTATTGTCGAAAACTAGTCTTGCACTGGGAAAAACAAGGTAATATTTGCTTTGCTATACCTGCAATAGTGACTGCTTGACTTGGTAGACTGCTGTTATTTTTGAACAGGGTGACGTGTAGGGCAAAGTTATCTCCCTTGGCAAATATGGTAAATCATCACTAGAAGCCACTGGAAGGCAACAGTCTTTACATTGTTTTTTTTAAGACTACAAAGATTTTGATGAGATGTTATCTTTTTCATAATGAGAATATGTATTGGATTTTGATTAGGTTTGTAAAGTTAACATTAATTTGAGTTGTTACCATGGTTACTCTTGACATTAATTGTATTCCTTTTCAATGACTCTGAGGTATGGACAGGAATTTTATGATTTTCTGCTGCAAGTGACGGTACATATAATCACCACTCTTTGAAAACAATTCATTTTTTATGTCTGTAATTGATCTGAAGTGGCCATGTGGCTTCCTTATTTTGAAACCTCTTCATGACTGTAGTTCTAGTAGTTTCTACATCTTTGGTTAAGTAGATAATATTGTTCTTTCATGTGGACATGTACACCTTAAACTTGAATGTGAACTAGGAATTACATTGTTTTCTTTTAGTCATTTCATATGCTTTGAAATAGTGCTGACCTCAACATGTTTTAGGCTGATAGAAACGAGAGGAATTATTTTATTTATGTAACAATGGCAGCATTTGTTGAAGGTAATTTATTAACTTCATATTTTCAGAATATCATTTGAAAATAAGGATATTTTGATTAGGCAGTTCAGTCTTATTTTTTCTATTGGTCAATATGCAAAAGGAAAGATTTTGTTTTTTAAACAAGAAGTATAAGGTTGTACTGGCTGCCTGAAAATGTCAGTAATCACAAATATCATTGATAGGTAGAATTTTGAATGATTAATGATCACAATAACTCTATCATCAATAATATCTTGTATGAACATTTTTGAGGAAATAAAGTTTTAATTTACGTACAATACACAAAGTTATCTCTTTGTTTATGAGATTCATGCTTCTAATTTATGTTCGGAATGATGTGATGGTGGGTTTTACTTTTTATTTTCATTTTTGCTAAAAGTTACTTCTTTGATATTTATCGATAGCCAGTTCAGGTATTAGTACTTTGGTATGACAGTGGTAATGTTTTGTTTGTAGAAGTTTTCCTTCTGTATCTCAACATGAGCTCCATGAGCACTCTTACTACAACCAGATGGCGCTGCTAGACACGTAAGTCAGTCACATGACTGATGCAAGCCTTTTCTGATCAATCATTGGTTGGCTTGAACAGCAGGCATGCTATATGCATATAGTCAACAGTTTGTATTGAACATAGCTAGACACTGTTTTGTATGTGACATGTAACAAGTTTAGTTAAACATGTTGAAACTGATACTAATACAGTTGACCACTTTGTGACACTGGTGTTTCAGTGTATTACTGCACTGTTGGTTCAGTTCCATTCATTTCACATATGTATTAACATGTACTTTAACAATGTTTAATCTCTAGAACTTCTTGTATTATGCATTATCTTTTCCAAATTACCGTGGGGGGTGTTGCCTGGTGGTAAAGTGTTCGCTCATCGTGCTGAAGACCCAGGTTTGATTCTAGGGCTGCAACGAATCAGTTCGATTATCGATAACCATTATCACTATTTCAATTCGATATTTTAATACCTATTTAAATTATTTCCACACAGCCAAAACATAATTTTGACTCCCAACTCGAGCAGTTTGGAGCTCTGAAATAAGGCGAAACGTGATTGGTTGACGCTGGGCTAATTATAAAATGACAATTGTTGTTAGTAGATTTCACGATAAAAAAGCCGACTCTGAGAGTTAAATGAAATCTGATGTTTTTACTTGTATGAAGAATTGAATCGAAAATGATTGAATCGAGAGTTCAATATCGAAAATCGAATCGAATCGAGGTCTGGGTGAATCATTGCAGCTAAATTTGATTCCCCACTTGGTCCCATGCTGAGAAAGTGAGATATTGCTGGAATATTGCCAAAAGCCATGAGATAATGCATAATAATTAAGAGATTATATTTTTTAGTGCATACATTATGTATATCATATGGGTGGATATGACTGATTCAGTTGCTGAATTTACAATTAGTGTAACCTTGTAATCACCTCAGTCACAGGACCATCACTTACAAACTTGCAAACAAGGCTTTATCAAGTTTCCAAGTATGGGAGATTAGTGGATATTTCTTTGGATATTTCCTCCAATGATGATTTGGAAAATTAAATATGTGATTCTCTTTCAAGAAGAACCTACTGTTAGTTAACTTGATGAAATTAAAATGAACATGATATGGTCATTTTTGGTCCTAATCATAATAATCATGATAATATTGGTGATTCTATGTGCAGGGCATTTGCCTGCCAACCTCTTTGTGCCAGCTATTTTAGGGAATATGGGTGGTTGACATGAGTCGAAGCATCAGGGGTACATGACACTTACTAAAGTACATATATTGTGATGAGAAAATCTCTACAATCATGGGAAGCTGGAAAGGGGAGAGTCCAAAGACATTTATGTAATTAGATGTGATAAAAAAAGAAAAGAAAAACATGATAATGATCAGTTGAAGATTATTGCAGAGATAAGGACTGAGCACTGTAAACTTGTCATATTCACCCATGTGATAACTGTGTGTGATGCCTAACCAGTCTGGTATGAAAGTTGATATCTGAAGCTCACGGCTCCTGTTGATTGTAGCGGATTCCCCCCAGATTGTCAGGCCCAGTCCAATCATTATGCCGATGATCCTGACAACATCTATGGAGAGTTACCTGACATGGCAGTGTAAGTAAACACAGCTGCCGGACCACAGACTTGGCTTACTCTAGTTTACTATGTTTACATTATCTGTCAATTCAGGTCCAATTGTGGGGAGCCGGTTTACCCACATGGGCACAATGGGGTAGCCTAATGGTTAAAGATATTGCTGGAATATTGCTAAAACGCGTAAAACCAAACTTAGACCGAAGAGGGGTTCGAATACCCACATGGGCACAATGTGTGAAGCCCATTTCTGGTGTCCCCCGCCATGATGTTGCTGGAATATTGCTAAAAGCGGCGTAAAACCAAACTTAGTCAGTCAGTCACGCCGAAGACCCGGGTTCGAATACCCACATGGGTACAATGTGTGAAGCCCATTTCTGGTGTTCCCCGCCATGATGTTGCTGGAATATTGCTAAAAGCGGCGTAAAACCAAACTCAGCCAGTCAGGTCCAATTGCCAACAATATTGGCACATTGAGAACTGATTCAGAATTATGGTCATCAATGCAAGTAGACAACATGGACTATCTTCTCTGGATTCAGCACAGTTAGTTTCGAGCTAGCAGACTAGAATGAATTAGAGGCTGTCTGATCGGAGGCTATCACACCTGTGGTCATGGGTTTCACCATAGTGGTAGTCATTACTCTGTGCTAACCTCCCACAATGTCCAACTTAATGCTGACATGATAGCTAAATACTCTAAACCCAAGTCACTTGATATTAGTATGTTGCTCATGTACATTGTATTCTGTTTGCATGTTTTGATAAGTAGCCTAGAAGGCATGGTATTTGTGAAGTTAGGAATCAGTTAAAAGATTTAACCACAGCTGAGGACAAAGTTGTTAAAAAATTTATTAAGAACAACTGAAATGAAAATTGAATTATATTGTTTGAGTTTGTCACAGTAAATTTAGCAAGTATAAGTGATAGTAGACCAGTACATCATTACACAGTAAAACATAGATGTATCTTAATGTCAGTGATAATGTACTGAGGGAAAAAATAATGGTTCACATGAAAGCACAAGTGTTCCTTTATTTGTTTCCAGGTTTCTTCACGTTCTATGCGATACAACGCTTGTGAAGAAACCTGGAAACAAATAAAGGAACACTTGTGCTTTCATGTGATCCCTTATTTTTTTCCTCAATATATCAGAAAGTTGTTATCCTTAAAAGTTGTTCTATAGTGATACTATCAGACTGTTATCTTGTTAATTAACTTTTATCATATGAAGCCTATAACATTGTATACTGGAGTGAAAAGATATATTTGCAATTTCAGCTAAGTTTCATATTGACATTTTACAAATATCAGATTAAAATATAAGTGATGCATTGTGCTTTCATCATTTTTGTGATCAAGCATATTTCTGAAATTATCCTTTTAATGATTTTAGACCATAATAACTTCTGAATAGTTTTTCCTCTCCAAGCTAGGTAAGTAAGACAAAAAATTATGAACGATACATGTTATGATGGTCATACAGTTTGTTTAAAGAAAGGTGATGTGATAATACTGATGTGTACCAGTCGTGACTAAGTAACTAAGTGTGAGGTGATGTGATATCTGTGTACTGATGTGTGTGCAGTGAGAATGACCTGGAGGACACAGAAGAACTGTATGACTGTGTCTACCAGGACGAGGAAGACAAGATCTACGATGACCTGTGTGGACTGCAGCGTGAGGAGCATCGGAAGTCACAAGTAAGGGAGACCACTCTTAATGTCACTACTAATGCCTGGAAACAAAATTGGTAACAATTCTTAGGCCAGTCCTCATTATATATGTCATGTTGATATGTCAGTATTTTCATGACTCTCCTATGATACAAGTTATCTTTTAGGATTGTGTAAATACCATAACTTTGACATTACTTATTTGTATGAACCTTTACCTTGCTTATAAGTATGATAGTGTTAAAGCCAAAGCATGTCTTTAGGGGTAACTAAAATGATGATAAGTAACAATGAGTAACCTGAGTCATTGCTCTTCATCCCTAGGAATCAGATGGCATTCTTGTTGCTCATGCTTTTAACCACTTGGTGGGGTAGCCTAGTTGTTAAAGCGTTCGCTCGTCATGCCGAACACGCGGGATCGATTCCCCACATGGGTGCAATGTGTGAAGCCCATTTCTGGTGTCGCCCACCGTGATATTGTTGGAATATTGGTAAAAGCGGCATAAAACTTAACTCACTCACACACTCATTCACTGATTATCCCCAGGGTATTTAACTGGCTTATCTGATCTAGTTACAATAATGCTGTCATGACATATGTCATTCTTTATATTTAGATTGTGAAAATAATGTGCCTTAGATAGCTGTTCCTGTATTGCATTGGATGTATTGCTGTAGCTGAGGAAGATATAAGTTGCCTTGATTTTGACTGTCCATGGATTGTTTCAGCCTGTGCCGATGACAAAGCGTGACCATTGCATTAAGGAAATGTTGGATACAGAGAAGAACTATGTAGATGCCCTCACCATGGTCAACCAGGTACGTCATGCACCAGACTTCAGTCTAGGGTGGTAATACTGATCTACAGATCATAACTTCAGTCTGAGGTGGTAATACTGATCAGTCTGAGTACCAACATTTACCAACAATGACCTCAGTCTAAAAAGGTCATACCAATATTTACTGTAATACTGTGCTAAATACTTCTATGTATATATCCTTGTCTCCAATGACTGATTGTGAATACTTTTTTGCAGCATTTCATCAAACCCCTACATGCCTTTATTGCCACTCAAGACAGAGAAGTTATATTTGCCCACATAGAGGTAAGGGGTGTTGTAGAGAATGTAGTAAAATGTGGAATCAAGTGGAAGAGTAAAACAGTTAGTGTGCCATCATGTCTTCAGATTATTTACTAATTCGATTTGCTTGTCAGCACAGATTAACAATGGTCATATAAATACAATCAGGTGTTCTTCATCTATGTTTTGGTTAGTATAATCCAGATGTTTGTTTTATTCAAGTTGTATGACTGAGTAATTAATTACCTAGCTGTGGCATGATTGATCCTTACATTATGATCCATCATCCATGGATAAAACTGACAGTCTCCGTGATCTAGGGGATAGAGTGATGGTAGGGTTGAACCCTGGTCTTGTCATACCAGAAGATGCTGAAAGATACTTCTTGCAAACCTACCGGTGCTCGCCATTTCAGGGATAAGACTCTCTGGTTGGCTCTGAGATGGGTATCATCTGTTGTCTGGTATCTTAACAGTCTAGTGCAACAAAACCAGCATTAGTCAGGACCAGTACACTCGGGGCGATGGATTAGCCTGATGGTTAAAGTATCCGCTCTTCATGCTGAAGATCTGGGTTTGATTCCAAATATATGTGAAATCCATCCCAGGTGTCCCCCGCCATGATATTGCTGGTGTAAAAGTGGTGTAAAACCTCACTCACTCATTCAAAGCCACACACAAACACTCATGCCAGCACATTGCTACATTACTGTATAAGTACAATAATCTTGACATATGTTGTTCAACCCCATTCCACCTCCCCACATGGATACAAGGCATTACTTTGGTTACAGGAGCTTCTGACAGTCCACCGATCATTCTCTGCCGATCTGCTACGTGCTGTGGAGACAGGCAATCCCTCCATCAGCAGTGTCTTTGTCAGTTACAAGAAGAAGCTGCTTATCTATGGAGATTTCTGCTCTAACCTCCCTGCCGCTCAAGAGATGATTGACAAAGTCTGTGAGAATGATGTCATCCGAAATAAGATAGTGGTAAGTGGTATGAATAGGCCAAGCATGTACCTGACCTACTCAAGCCCTTGTTCGAGCTCTTGTTACATCTAGGCTTGACTACTGTAACAGCATCCTTTCAGGCCTCAGTTCTAAACTCCTTAATAAGCTTCAGAAGATCCAAAACACTTCCGCCCGCATCATCAGCAAGACTTCTAAACGTTCCCATATAACACCGGTGTTGAAAGAACTGCATTGGCTACCAGTTAGGGCCAGAATTGACTTTAAGATCCTCTGTCTGACATACAAGTGCCTCCATGGTTTGGCTCCCTCTTACTTGTCTGAACTCCTACATCTGTATGTCCCCCGCACGCAACTTGAGCTCAAACACACAAAATCGACTGGTCATCCCATCCTACAAACTGAAATCCTTTGGACACCGATCATTCTCTTACTCTGCACCTGTACTTTGGAACTTTCTCCCATGTGCCCTTAAAAGCTCGGACACAATTGACATTTTTAAGTCGAGACTTAAAACCCACCTTTTCTCAGTATATTATGTATAACTTCATCTGTAAGTACTCCAGTGTAAATATTCTGTAGCACTTTGAGCATGCCTTAGGGTGTGGAAGGGGCGCATTATAAATATGCATTTATTATTATTATTATTATTATACCATCAACCGGAATATTGCTCAGTGCAATGTTAAACAACAAACAGATGTGTAGAATAGTCAAGAGTAGGTCCTGAGTACACCATGCTTGTTTTAAGAGGTACCTATTGAGGACTGAGAGGTTATAATGTGTATAATGGTATATAATGTGGCTGATGGTATGTCGTTGTGTCTTGATTTTGGTTTGTCCACACTCAGCAATATTACAGCCATATAGCAGTGGTCTGTAAATAATCGAGTCTGGACCAGACAATCCAGTGATCAACATCAAGAGCATCGATCTATGCAGTTCAGACATGATGACATGTGTCAACCAAGTCAGCTAGCCTGACCACCTGATCCCGTTTGCAACCTATTACAACAAGTATGTGTTTGCTGAAGACCAATTCTAACCTGGATCTTCATGGGTCTTGTCTTGTCATGGGTTGTTGCTTGTACTATCAGCCACTGGTTTGTTGGCTCCAGATGTAAACAGGTTCCCCAGACACAAGGGTATTGTTGTGGTCAGGAACATTCACTGTGTAGTGCTGTTTGCATCAGGTTTTATCACCAACTGTGATCTGTTTCAGGAATGTGAACGGAAGGCCAACGAGGGCAAGTTTCGGTTGCGAGACTTGCTTCATGTGCCGATGCAGAGAGTGCTCAAGTATCACTTGCTGTTAAGGGTAAGTTTTAGTGGGAACAATGTTTGTAGTGCTGGAATAACTGGAACATTTTGGACTGTCAGGTCAACCACTAAGATGTCTTCTTCTGAAGACCTGATATCTGTTACTGTCATTGTACACTGCTGCAAGGACAGGCTTGTATTTGCTTATTTAGGATACCAAAGTGCCCTGACAGAAAAACCTGATAAACTGAAATGTGTCTACCCCTCTGTTATTGCTGTTTGCGCTGGTTAATCAACTGGAATTAGTAGATAATATGTACAGAAACCTATGGATCCATTTCTCTGAACTTTCTCGAATTATGAAATATGTGAGACTGATCTTGACTCTGAATAGGCATTGCAGAAATTTAAAAGGTCAATGATACAGTGGTGCTTCCTTCAGATCACAGGAAACCACCTCATCCTCTTACTTTTGAGGTTTGAAAGCAGGTTTACTAAAAGAAAAAATCTTAATACTGGACTGTATAACACAAACCTTCATTGGTAAAAATAACAGATAAGAGGTTGTTAAAATATGTTTCAATATCTGTTCATCAACCTGGGTATGACTTGGGGCTCCAAAGTTGTTTAGATTTATTCCTAAATGTTTTTGGTTTGACATTCTGATATATATTGTAACATTGTACTGATCAGTCTCGTTTACATTTCAGGAACTCATAAAGAACACAGACAAAACAGTCCTGAGAGAACAGAACTAGAGAAAGGCTTGGAAGCCATGCAGGTGGGTACAACTCATCAAGATAATTCAGCTCACCAGTGAAGATTCAGATTACATCTCCACTATCCCATGTTTCATCGAATCCTGGCAGGATAGGTGCTCACTTCATTAACCTTTAGTTTATCCAATACATTGAAGCCATACTAATACTGTTGTTGCAGTTAATTCTGAATATGCCTTTTAACACTGAGTAATACTGAAGCAAGTATCATTCATTATGCAGAATTTTAGTTATGTTAATCATAACATATTTGAAGTTGAATCTGTTAATTCCCAAAGTAGAAAGAGTGAACCCCTGAAGATCTTGCTTCTTTAGAATCAGCCTATTTCAGTGATTTCTCTGATTTCCCTGTCATGTACATGACAGGGCTCGATTTAGTGCTTTGTTACTTTCACTGGTGCAACTCAATATCACAAAGTGCAACCTAGTTATTAGTCAAAAGTGCACCATGTGCAAGTCATTTTTGAGAAATAAATCAATAACAAATCTAAGTTTCTTCTAAACTTTGAATAGCTATGGCACCGAAACATTGCCATTTATAGACACTTCTCGGCTATGACAGCTCTTGTAAACAGGGATCAGCTGCGTATCTGTGTTGCTATGATTTCATGGGTACTACGTCACGGAAATATGTTTATGTGCACCATACCCTCTGACGTTTTAGCACACTACATTGCAACTGGAATTTGGCTTGTGCAACTAGGTTTTTATCTTAGGTTGCACCTGGTGTAAGTAGGTTAACATCCCTTAAATCGAGCCCTGCATGAGGAATTTGTCTTGTTTGTTTGAAGAATGGTCAGTGAGTTGCTCTCTGTTTCAGGATCTCTCCCTATATGTGAATGAAGTGAAGAGAGACCATGAAGCCCTGCAGCTGATTGATGAGATTCAGAATAGGTAGATGCCGGTTTTATACAATTGCTTACTTTTTGGGCTCAGAAAAAATATCATCATCCACCGCTGTGTGTATTTGTTGTCTATGTATGTTAGGTTTATTGGAGAACCATGTATGAAATGCATGGGCTGTGTGAAGAATGTTTCTGGTGTGAAGCCCCTTTCTGGCGTTTCCCAGCCATGATTTTGCTGGAACATAACTGAAGGTGATGTGGATGGGTTGGGCTGTAAATGGCTGGGTGATGTTGTTGGTGGGGATGGGTGGGGTTGTTGGCTGGGGATGTTGGTGGGGCTCTGTAAATGGCTGGGTGATGTTGTTGGTGAGGATGGGTGGGGCTCACAACAAAGTTGATACATTTTTATGTATTTTTTCGTGCATGAACAGAACAATATGATTGTGTTGTCCTCTGTTCCAGAACATGGCCTCATGGTACTGTGGTACAGGATGTCATTGAATGGAAATTTGAATGAATATGAACTAGATTGATCCATTAAATGTATAAACTTGAATTTTCAGCCTTGTGATTTTCAATCTTAACCATTGTAAATTTTCTTTGGCAGTCAATATTCCTACATTTGTCTTGTTCTACCATCATAATCAAAATGCATCATTGTAATATAAATGATGTGTACACATTTGTTACCACCTTAAACCTTATCATAGGTGTGAGTCCTATAGTCAGCCTGATTATGATCCCTTGTATGTCAGCTCCATGACTTCCCCAGTGTTGTAGCCTCGAATAGCTGCAAAATTGCTGATGCAGCTTAAAGCAACATTTACTCACTCACTCTCCAGTGTAGTATTAGTGTATAGAACATACATCACTTAGGAATGTTTTCATATGCTGGCTAGATGATATATGCTTATGAAGTGTTAAACCTCCACATATGCAGAAATATAATCATTGAGGCTTGGATCATCTCCCAAAGCATTTCAGTCTACAGGATAACAAAAACTCTTGTAATGGTCTAATATGATGTAGCACCTGAAGACAAATTGGGACTAGCAGACATTTGGCACATATGCCTTGATTGATAAACATCCCAAGAAGTGAATTAATTTTAACATATAATTCTATGACCTTTTCCCATGTCATCAAACTGTTACTGTTTCTTTTCAGCATTGTTGATCTGCGTATGGTAAGTAGTCACTTTCCCATCATGCATTGGTGTGAGGGTTGATGGACATTACTTCCCACATGGATTATGTATTCAGTATATCAACCCTGTTTGCTGGACCTAGCATGGGCTTAAGTTGGAAAAAAATATGTAATTTGTTTTAGATATTTTTGGTTATATGTTTATGTTTCATAGTAGTACATGAAATACCTGTTTTCAAGGGTTGTGTGCGACAACGTTTGATTCCAGTGAGTGTCATAGTCCAACAAATGGGAAAATACATTTAGAGAAGTGTGATCAAGTGTGTAGAATTATCTGTGTTGTAAGCTTAGCATTTCTGACTCTAAGTTGCAGCTCATTATGGTTAGATCTAAATTTGGTTCACAACTCACATCTTTTCTGATTGGCCTAATTTGGAGCATGCACAGCCGTCATTTAACCTCATCATCATATCGTATTATCATCATGTATGAAGATGCACATTCGGAATAAGATCTATCCTGCTGTGCATACTCTGAGTCAGGGCCCTCCTTCACTAATCCACCATCATTGTTGTAGTCTTTAAGTTGATACCATCATCTGGCCATCCACCCAGGCAGCTTTCCTGTTTCTCTACATCACGGTTATCACTGACTCCATCTTCAGTTACTGTTAGTGGCTTGCATGATACTTCATTGTATAACAGTCTGGATGTTGGATATACCTCTCTACACTCTCTTTCTCCCATCATGACAGCTTCCATTGACCCTGACCCTTCCTTACAAATTCATGACCTTGACCTACTATGACCTCAGGACTTTGACCTTTCATAATTATGAGAATTTTAAGAGCAGACTGTTGCAACTTGCATTAACCTTCATTTTGTAGTGACATTTTTAACAACTTCAGAAACCAGGGAAGCAGACTGTTGTCATGTTTATATAAGTTTTGTTATGTTCGATACACTATGTTATGTGATACATCCGTCTTGTATCGATTCATAATTCAGCCCACATGGACCCATTCATTCATATTCAATTCATTTAATATCGAGTACACATGTAAGTTAATTCGCAACTTGGGACTTGTTGTTTTACTCAGTAATAGAAAGTACTGTTGTTGAGGCTTTTCTAAAATAAATTTATTAAAGTGAGACATTTCATTTTTCAAATATGAGACCAGATATTTATGAAGTTTCTTCCCTTGTAATAGCGTTTTCCCAAAGAAATATATAACTATAGGAATTTCCCCCAAAATTGTAATATGTTTCATATGGAGAGATAGCTGTAATGTAACATCCAGCTATTTGAGTAATAGATAATCTATAAGGAACTAATCCAGCCTGATAGAAGTTTAAAGTACACATGTATGTAGTATTTAGTATCATTATTATTCAATACATTACTATTGTGTCTTCACACGAAACACCTGTGATCAGGTCCATCATATATCATCCATTGGTCACTTGCTGGAAGAACAGCCAGGTGTGCGAGTTGCACATGTCAAATTGAAATTTTAATACACATGCTTGTTGATTACCTGGCTGTCCTACCAGCAAGTGGTCCCTCCTCGTAAGAAATAGCGAAAAGTAACAACAAAATAATGATTGTTTGTTAAACGACATTTTTATTCGAGTGTCCAATATTATGATACAAATCATCAGAGTTGGTCTGTCAATTTCATGGACTGTGCCAAATTTGGTTTTGTTGCAATTATTAGATTTTGTGTTAGTGAGCAATTCATCGGTCTAAAATGAAATCAAATGGACTATACAGTCCCATCCATTTAGCCCCAAGTCAGCATCATATCAAACCAGTTCACGAACAACCCATCTACAGCCTAACCCATCCACATCAACAGCCCAAACCATCCACATCCACAGCCCAACCCAACCCATCCACATCCAAAGCCCAACCCATCATCACAGCCCAACCCATCCACATCCACAGCCCAACCCATCCACATCCACAACTACATCCACAGCCCAACCCATCCACATCCAACCCATCCACAGCCCAACCCATCCTCATAATCAGCATAAGCCAACCATCTACAGTCCAACCCATTCACATCTACACCACCACCCTCCCCACAGCTCCAGGCTACCATCTTTGCTGAAGCCCCACCTATGACGGCTTTGAATATTTTATCTTTCTTTCCTAGCATTTGGCGAAGCTAGCAGGACAGAGGCCCACGGAGGTTTGTCGGTCACCCACCCAACTGCCTGTCTGCTTGCCGAACCTGCTGAATTAACTCACACTAAACACTCTTGCCTTGAGTCATACATGCTATTGCCTTCTGCATTGCTAAATTAGAACATCATCAAAACAGAAAAAAATCAATGTTGAAACTGAAAACTTCCTCGATGTCATGGGTGTCATAGGTGTTCTGTATATTGACCCTTCCTGGTTTTGTCTCTAGCAACTTAATTCAATATATGCAGGAGACACTTTTCCAGACTGAAACCGTTTACCTGAACCAATAACGTGAAAATTTGGTCCAGATGGCATACAAATTTATCATGAAAATTTCTTAGCTATAGAATGTGAAGAAAGTCATTTGTCATGTAGAATAAATAGATATAACAATATATTGTTATATCCACATTGCCATGAACATAATGCCTTCTCCTTGGATTGTATTTGAGATCTCTGAATTTCTTAGCAATGCAAAAGAAATTTTTACTGTCTTATTGAAAATATCTTTAACATATCTGAAAGGACTGTGCTTGTCCATCGCTTGGAATGACAGTTACCTCCCTTGTTGACTGTTAGTTATCTCCCTTGTTACTGCAACCCATGGTTTGTTCTGTAGGTTGTTGACAGTAGTTACTAGTTTTGTTATCTAGATTGTTCAGTTTCTTGTTCCCCATATCTTTATTGCATTGATTAGTACAGGGTTTTTACGCGATGCTGAAACATATGGAATGGATGTGGGAAAATTCATATTGCATCCAGATCAACACTGTAGGACTAACTATTGTATCAAATTCTTGACAAGAAATATAAAGGTCCTGTTAAGAAAGTAATTATTAAATCCTACAGTACAGTGCATTGCAACATTTTTGACAGGACCTTCATATTTCCAGGAATTACCCTTCAAATTATTTTAAGTTTTGTAAGTCAAGATAAAACCCTGGATTACTATATATTTATATATGCTCTAATATATATCTGTTCTAATCTCATTTGGCCAAAAAAATCATATAGAGTTGATGTTGTTATTTGTCTGTTGTCCACATCTGTCCCAAGGCATTCTCTAAAATACACAATGGATTGAACTGATTTGTTCGAAGTGCATGGGAATTTGTTGACTATTTGTTAATCAAATGTTGATTATACTGGTATATCATGAGAATCAGTTTTATATTACTTGCATGTTCAGAACGGCCAGTGAAGACCTGGCTCGAGTCAACTACAACTAAAATAGTATGAAGAAGGATTAAGGATATAGAAGAAATATGAAGATTTACACATTACCTCCTTTTTCATGAATTTGAAAAATGGAAGAGTTTTGTTTTTGTTGGACTGTTCAATTCACTTAGTGAACATGCAGAAGATTTTGTGGATATTATATCCACAAATTTGATGATTCTTCAGTATGTCAGACCTGTTTATGCTTCCTAGCTCTCGGGGGGCGGTGGGTAGCCTAGTGGTTAAAGCGTTAGCTTGTCACGCCGAAGACCTGGGTTCAATTCCCCACATGGGTAATATGTGTGAAGCCCATTTCAGGTGTCCCCCGCCGTGATATTGCTGGAATATTGCTAAAAGTGGTGTAAAACTAAACTCACACACTCACTCCTAGCTCTCAGTACTTCTCAGGATCAGAAGTGGCCTGCATATTGTTAAAGCTTTCTGGTAGTATTGGTGTCTGTTATATTCTTTTATAAAATAAATAAGATCATATCCTATATCTTTGTTATAGTTTGTGGAAATGGTGTTCAAGTGCCATTTCACATAATTCCTTTTGTCTGGATTTGAAACAGATACCTGTACTTCAAGTTAAATTGTATTTTTGTGTCTTGTTCTGAATGATTAATCTTGTAGATGGTAATGTAGTGCATAGAGACTGAGGTATTCTTGTCTGGCATTTGTAATCCTGGCATAAACACGCATGTTGTAGACTAGAATCTCTTGGCCTGACTTGATGTAGCATTCTTGAGTATTTACTGTATTTTTGGCCTTAAGATTGATTTACACACCATATTATTTTGAACATTTATTTTCAGAGATACAAATCTAATGTCAATTTTATCGTAATTTGCACTTTGAAACATAGAAGCGAAATGTGTCGTGGATTTAATGCAATTTTTTGTTTATTCATTTATTTATCTATTTTTGCTTTGCGAGTGTATGCGCCAAAAAGCAGACAAATAATCTTCAACTTTCAGAAAGGATTATAAAGAGCATTGACGTTTTGCCCAGTAAATGTATTTTCCCTTCTTTTCATAGTGGATATGGGTGTATTTCTTTAAATGTAAATGTGTTTTGTTTTTCAGCCTGCAAATACATCCCTGAAGGACTATGGTCGCTTCCAGAAAGACGGGGAGTTAAAAGTGTTGTCCCATTTGGACAGCCGTGTCCGGAACAGGTTGGTGTGGAAGACTCATGGTCTTCCCAATATTCACAGACCCTTTCTGTAAACTAACAGGGCTGTCAGCACTAGTACAGGCCATCCTACTACATAGACTGATAGACTACACCCCAGAGTATTTAAACTTTTCACAAAATAGTTTTTTATCTACCTCTTCAGAGATACCTAATAGGAGTAATATTTAGTCATTCAAACATAACTCATGTAAGACGTGTCATATATGTAAAGTATGTTTCCCAATGGTAATAGTTTATACATAGCTATGACTGATTCGGTAATGGAAAATTGACTATAATCAGGTTACATAGCTAAAGTCAAGGGGATTGTTGCATTTACTGCGAGTCTTGGACAGTGTACACAGTAGTAGTAATTAAACCAACAACACAAGCATCCAACTTCCGCTGTAATGAATAACTAGTAGGATTGATGACCAAACACAAGCAGGTGAACCTTCTATTTCATTTTGTACATCAAAGAAATCTAGAAAGTACTTCATGAATGAAGGTCATTAGGAAATTGGTTAAAAAGGATGGTGTTGTATATATTAATTTTTGTAGTTTTTTCACTGACACTCCTTCCTTGTTGGGTTTTACTGGTGTAATTGTCTCTGGGATCTGTAGCAAATTTGCTTTACTAACATAGTCGTGTTCTCCTCCTCCAAACATGGTTCAACCATGTTCTTGCTCAGTATCTAACATTTCCTTGTAACACTGCTGCTTACTGTAGCGTGGTATCAAGCTGCCCTGCCCGCTTCCTACTGCCCAACTTTGTGATAGTTATGATATATGCTACTTTTAAGAAGTTAGAGAAAACCCCATTCTTTCATATTCCGTTAATCTATCTTGCTGTGACAGATTAACTAAAGTAAAGAATACTGTTTCCTTGAACTTCTTTTGAATAGTTTATATGATATATATGGTTATTATATATACAATTATGAAATATGTGATATATACACTTATAACTGTCGAGTACTGTTCCATTGTTCCCATAGTGTGATATTTGACGTTTTCAGAGTTTTGTTGCCACGGTTACTTCTGTCATGTTCATTGACTGTAACCGTGGTAATTAAATCCCAGATTTCCCATCACTGTTATCAGTGGACTTTCCTCCCATACTAATCTGACATATTACTGATGTATTCAGTGTTAAACTGTAGTGATGGAACGTTAGGTAGGGCTACTTTGTCAGATTAGTGAAACTAGAATATTGTCCATTGATGTTTTACAAAGTCTCCATGACTAAAACTATTTCATTTACCCCAGTCTGTGCTCAAAACTAAGTCTACTGGCCTGAACTACATTTCTAGCTTCATTTTAAGTACATTTTATGTTGTCATATGCACTCTTATCAGCTGAGATTGCAACACATAACAGATTTTTACTAGACTTGACTTCAGTAGTAGCTAAAGTCACAGACTGTCACTATCATCAGGAAACTAGACTCAAACCACAAGGAAGTCAAATTTTTATCCAAGTCCTTAAGACCTCAAGTTGTTTAGGTGCATATCTTATTTTATGAGGTAAATCACCTTAATTGGATTAAACAGAACCAATGTTTTAATTTGACATAATATTGCACTGATCGTTTGCTGATCTAAATCTGGGTCAGATATCAGATCTTCAAAGTTTCCCTTAAGAACAAGCATGGGGTCCTGTTTGTGTTGTGAAATATCACGTCTGTAGCAGCACTGTAGCTAGAGAGGGACGCACAACAATAGTGTAAGCACCTGAGTTCAATCTGAATGTTAACCCACATAATCATAACCCTAGTTTAGTCACGTTCACGTTTCTACCCTACGACTGTATTATTTATGCATTGTATTTGTGTTGTTTGTGTTTATTTATAAGCAATCCCATACTTCATGGCAAGTTCAGATTGAGGGATACTGAGTGTGCATGACCTATTGTTTTAAACGAATCGAGAGGTCAACTGCTAGGTTACGTGTGTAGTGACCGTGTAATATCTTGAATAATCTTAATATCTTAAATAATGTACTTGACATATCTGTGAGTGAGGAGTTCCAGTTGTGAGTTTTTCTAAAATATGCTGGTCCACACAACAAATGACAGTAGCGATAAGAAACAATAATATTTGGGTTTAAAATGGGATTATATGAAAGTTAATATTCTCTTAAATTATGTCTGTCACTACTAGTAGTGATAAGAAAGTAAAGAAACAGTAATTATTTTGGTTTTAAATGGGATTATATGAAAGTTTGTATTCTCTTAAATTATGTCTGTCACTACTGTAATACACAACTTAGTATTAATCCTCTTCTGTATTAGTAATAACCAGTGAAATAGCTGTTACCTCTGAAAAGACTGAACATCAGCCAGTGGTCCACCTTCTTCAAAGTTATGTGGGCAACTACACATAATGAGGATCATTTTCGAAGAATAAAACACTGCCATTATAAACAATATTGATATTTACTGTAGAATAAATAATTTTAATGAATTGCTTGTACAGTTGGCGTCATCAGAATTCTCAGATACCACTTTCATCATAACTAATTTAGAATGATTCCTAACTGGTTAAACTAACTGCTTTTAGTGTATTTCATAAGTTAAATCAAGTTTTAATATTGTTAATTGTTAAGAAACAAAAGACAATTCTATTTGACTTTCATCATTGTTCAAATATAATTATAATCATGCTAAATCATAAGAATGATTAATGATGGTTTCTGTTATTACCAAAAGTAAGTTCTTCATGGAAACAGAAACATTTCTGTTTAAAGTATTAGGGTATATGAAAATAATGTTACAACCATACAACCATCATGTAATATTAATGCTGCATAATTTGTTTACCAGACACAATGACAAAAAGAAAAGTATGCTTTTATGGACATTCTTGTGCATGTCACAACAGTAAAGTTAAATGCAGCCTATGTCAAGGTCACAAGTTAATTCAACTAAAAGTGGCTTTTGATACGTAACATGAGAAAATAGTACTGATAATTTTGTCTTATCACAAAAATATTTTTAAAAAGCAATATGACTTTATGAGACCTTTATTTTTCCAGTTTTCAGGTTCGTAGTTGTAAGATTACTCATAAAATGCTAAATAAAATTGGATTGTATTAATGTGTCCTTGCCTTTTGAGAAATATATTATGAACGTATAAGATTTTAGTGTGATCAAATCTATTAAAACACGAGAACTTATATTTTTACAAGTTGTATTTGAACTTGCCTTTTTGACAATAATGTGAGCAGTGACAAAGTATGTACATGTTAATATCTGATAAAAAATGAGAAAGTTTCACTTTAACAGGGGGGCAGCAGAGAAAAGGTAAGAGATAATATTCTAAACATGCTGAATAACATCTCTATAGACTTTCATTCCTGGCATCGCTAATGCATCAATAGAAACGCTCATTGACTACATATTACTTACAAGTAGAGTTTTCTCCAATATCAGAAATATGCTCAAATTGAAACTTATTATTTAAGAATATTTTCAAGAGTTTGCATGCTGCTTGTTTTCGCATGTTGTCCCCTTTCCTGAATTGTTTTCCCTTGTTTGTGTGTTCATATATTCATCCATACCAGCCACATAATCCTAATATTTGAATTCTGTTTTTGTCAACAGAATTGTTTTCATTTGTAACACTTGCAATATTTTATTTATAGAATATTTTTTTAAATCACACAAAACAGTGCTTGCCAAGCACTTGACACAAAGACATCAATGATTTCTCTCTAAAGAGTTTGCACCAGCTAAAAAAGGCTTTTGATTTTTAGATCTGACATTAAATTTAGATTTTGCCCAGAAAAGGCCATGACATTTTCGTGTTAGTTCCTGTCTTAAGTATAACTGGTAAATTGCCCAAAATAATCTTTTCAAAATTATACAAATACTGGGGCATTTAGAAGTTGGGAGGTAACACAAGGACGTATGGTATTGATTTACAGCTTCTTTAATATTTACAACATGACGTTTCTGGGCTGTAAATATTAAAGAAGTTGTAAATCCATACCATACGTTCTTGTATACAAATACTGTTAAATCTGTTAACCACTTTAGGGAATATCATTTGTGTACAGCCAACATATTTTGAGGAAAGTTATGCCCCTGCCAATGATGATCTGTTTCAGTTTTATGCCATTAAGTATTTACCAATATGATGTTGGGGTAGGCAAGCTGAATAAGCCATAGTGGGTAATTACACACTATTAAGTTGCTTGTTTATGGTTTTGTTTTCATGTGTACAGAAGCAACACACTAAAATTAAATAAGATCACTGTGAGTTATTTTGAGTATTTTACCTGAACATGTAGCTTATATCTAAGTCTGGTTAGAATATATATGTGAGACAATTATTTCGCATACCCTTGAAATTTTGTTAGGGAGCCTTAAAATCTGTAAACAAACCTTGAATTTGTGACTGAAATTCTGTCAAGCACTGTTTTATAAGTTGAGACATTGCCATGATAGGGATCAAGTATACCATCCATCCATCCATCCATCCATGAAAGAACAGTCCATGCTTGTTGTAAGAGCTGCCTCACATGAGCGCTGAAGTACTGTCGGAAATAGAAAAAAAACTGTTTTTAGACTATTACTCTGTATCCCTAAAATTTACACAACTGCAAATGGCATATGTCGAAATAACCCACAGGTAGTTCAGTAGGATGCGTACTAGCCTAATAGGATATCCAGAAAAGCATGTTTACTCGTAAAATCGTGCCAAACTTAGAAAAAATACGAATAGCTGCTGAAAACAATAGATCAGACTATAGATGGCAATTAGGTTGCTCAGCCAGGTATGACGATGGACCATTGAGTCACCTGGCATGAAATGCATGTGCTGCCCACAGGCACAAGGGTTCATCTCAAAGATATTTTAGGCTTTTTCATATGTATTGAATATGTCTCAATAGATTATCGTATCTTAGATATCGCTATCCCCCAGCCCGACCCCAACCACCGTCTGCGACACCCTCCTGGTTTTGCTTTTGAGACGACCCCTCCTACCTGTTTCATTTCATAGTGATAGCAAGACTCCATGGTAGCTACATCCTTATTAGTTTCAATATTAAAGTTATTATTTTTTATGTCAGCTGTTGTTTATAATGAAGCTAAGTCTAATTTCAAAATGTGCATTTAAAAGGTGTCCTTTGTAATACAATATCATGGCACACTAAATTGCATAAAGCCATAGGCTGTTCTAAATAAGTCGCATTGGACTTAGAAAAACCCTGCATTGCTCATTTCTGCACTGATCTCTCCTCAGTAAAATCCTTTTTTACGTTCCCTATCTCCCTTCCACTGCAACTGTAGTTAGGCCGAACTTAGTTTAACAGATATTTCACACTTTCACATATTAACTACCTAAATTGTAGATATAAATGTGAAAAAACAGGGTTTTTTCTATTTCCGACACTACTTTTGGACAGCTGTTGGCATTGTGTGACATGGCTGATAAGTGGTCACATTATGACAATGTGTTAATTGTAGATCATGCATTTTACGATGTCTTTGCTAGGCTTACAGTTTTCATTTTCCACCAAATATTTTGTCTTCAGCACATAGTCTGTTTATCAGTTCTGTGTTACAATATATTTCCATGACTGCATTTGTCTTCATATCTGACTAATTGTTTTCATTTCTTGCCTATTGCATGTTAATTTAGTTATATATGCCATCACAACATCTTGCATTTAATATATCTGCATATACTTCAAGATCAGATTTAAATCTAAATTTAAACAACAATGGAAATGTTTCTTACATCCTGCAATAATACAGTCTTGACAACTGGGTCAGTGAGGAGGATGTGAATAGGGCACAAATTCCAGTTTATCATCTTCATTGTATACAGTTTGAATTCCTGTTCAATTCTTTTTCATTAAGTCTATCATAAAGGCAAGTTTGATCAGTCATGCTTAAGCTAACTTTAGGATAAAGTGTACTGACTAACATATGATATTGTTGACAAGTCATATGCACATACAGAGATGTACCAACATATTAGGTCAATATTACGATTATCAACTGCTCATGTAATAATGATTCAACATGTTCAACCAGTTGAGCACAGATCTGTAGGGATGGTTGATAATTAACTAAGTTTGCTGCTGAAAGCATCTCCATGTACCCTCCTCGTCCTGCTGTGTAATGTCTCCCTAGCTACCAGCTTCACTTCCTATGGCCTTCACCTTCTCTGTCACTATCTCAATATACTTGACTAATATTTAAGTGTGTAGTGGCATTTCAGTGACAGGAGAATGTCCAGTAAAGTCAGACTTAGATAGGTCTAGCCTACTGACAAAGCTTCAGGTTAATGTGAAGATTAATGATTTATGAGAATGATGCATCAACTAACAACATATAGGACCAGGGTCCTGTTGAACATGTGTATTGCCCTGATATTAGGATCATTTGGTTTCAATGGATCATTGTGGCTCCACAAATCCATTTTACTGACAAGGCTTTCAGTGGTCATGGTCCTAAGACTGCTTTTATGAATTGGGCCCTGGGTCCTTGACAGTCTGAAGCACTTCAACATGTTCATGAGTCAGATTGACTATTGGTAAGGCTATCCTTATGGCTGCGTTATTATTGATTGGCCACCATTGTATAGCTTAACAATGCTGACTTCCTGTGAGGTTGTCTCCCCTCCTTGTTAGCTCAGCAACTTCCTATGCTGGTTGTTCATGAGATGGGAAGACATTCCTGCATGGGACAAAGGACAAGGTTGGAGGAGAGGGATTCTATATCATTGGAATTTTACAAATTTATACATAAAATGAAAAATAAGGGAACACATTTAAATGAATGAAGACTAATACCATTTATAATTTCCAAGACTTGTTATTCGGATTCATGAGAAAAGTGTTGACTTTTAACTAAATGGTGTCCAAAGAATCAATTGAAATATTTTTATGGATTGTTTTTCTAACATTTTAACATCAGCAAGACTAATATCCAAGCTGTTATATTATGAAGATGTGCAATCATCTGGTAGAAATTCCTCGTGGATAACAGATCTGTACTTGACATATATGTCAACTTGTAAGTGTTGAAAAGAACTCAAGCTTGTCATGACAAGGGCATTGTAACAGCCTACTCACTATCCTTCAGTGAGATGAACATTTGGAAGTACTGTCTGTATGAAAGAATGCCAAGCAATCACAACCACTTGTTCAACATTCCAACAGTTTCTTCCGACCAGTTTTCAATTCTTGAATCAAGAACTCTGTCCAAATAGTTTTCAAAGCAAAATCTGGAAAAGAAGTTGCCAGTTATTTTTAAACTAGTGCCTTAAAGCTCATGAAAGGTGCCTTCTAAGGCTAATGATACAACAGTATAACTCCTAATGTATTATATATGTTGTGATACAGGAATTGTAAAGTGATGTATCATGAGCCTCGTATCAATATTGTACTGTATTGCAGTATTGTTGCTACATTACTTCAGATGTCATGTACTTTATAAAACAATACAGAAACTGTCTAGATTACAGTGCTATCTGCCTGTAGTTCTCCAAGATTAAGACCTAGCTAGGTTACCTCTAACCCTAAATCCTACCTTATTTCTCATTCATGCACTTGGTTATATCTTTTATATCTATGGTTTCACCCACAATCAGGATATATTTTTGAAATGGCAACATTTTGAATGAACCTTTTTTGTATTTTTCAGACATATTTTCCTCTTTGACAAGGTGATGCTCATGTGCAAGGCACGGGTAAGTTGGCATACGAAGGAGCAACCCTGTAAACTGACAGTGGAAACATTATGCTTTACAGCTTGGGTATAGGCACTTTTCCTCAAATACTAGTCCTGTTTATGATCTTTCCAATTATTGGCAAGAGGGTATATGCTTTCTCAGATACCTAATAATCTGTGACTGTTGCTATAATATATGTTTACTTGTTGATAGAATCCTAGCCATATCTATATTTGTGTTACGACCAAATCCCTAGTTTTCATTGAATATATGTGCTTATTGAGTTTCTGGGAAAAGGATATTTTTTTTCTCTTTGTGTAAGATGTTGAAGAGGGTTTGGGTCGTAAGGCTACGGGTTTTAACCAATACACTACTGTTCTAAAAATTCTTTCATACCTTACCCATGAACGTCCAGGTTAGAATATTGATCTTCAGTAACCCATGCTTGCCGTAAGAGGCAACTAACTGGATCAGACCACCGCCATATAGCTGGAATATTGCTGAGTGCGGCGTAAAAGTAAACTCACTCACTCACTTTCATACCTTAATGCATTAAGGCTTTAAATCATTTTGTCTGTGTGTGTGTAAACGGCAATCTAGATACATAATATGTGGTTATGGTGGCTTCTATGATTGTTAATGTGTTGAGAATTGATGTTGGAGTTACTAGATTATGGGCTAGGTATGGCCCAATGAAGTATTACCTTTTTAGACAAAAGCAAAATCCCATCCTCCATGAAATGAGAGTTATCTCCCTTTGATTTATTAACAGGAATTATGACTTTGCATTACTTTCAGCATTGTATACAATCAGTGTCAGAAAGCATTCATGTCTGCAGGATGCCTTTTATTTGAGACTTTGCAACCAGATAATAACATCTTATAATATATATTTACATTGTATGTTTAAAGGCAAATATTTTTGTATGATCAGCATTGTGGCTACGATTTCAATAAGCATGATGAATGTTTTATTGTCCAAAATGTAGTGTATGACAATTCCAAATAGCTGAAATGGCAAAACAGACAGATAGAAGTGGTCTTGATGGTCACACTGTGATTCACCAAGGTGTTGCTTTGAGCTTCATAAGTGATCAAATGTCACTCAAAGTAATAAACAGATCAAGCCGCTTTCTTGATATTTCATTGTTTGTTCTTGATGAATTTTTTGGTAAGAGTATTCTTTTTATGAAGGCCAGTCTCTAAATAGCACTTATCCTTAATAACTATAAATGTTATCCGCAGAGTTGCAAAAATATTGAAATGATTGTTGAATTTCTGTATGTAAGCTTGAAAAAAAGAATACATCCCCCAAAAGCTGGAATCATGATCAAATGTGTTATTTGTCAGTGCCACACTTCTTCAGATACATACAGTAATGTGAAGTTCATTCTTGTTATCCTTACTAGTATATATCAGAGAAATACTAAAAAGACCAATTCCTGACGCCTTGAGTCATCAGTAGGAAACTACGGAATCTCAGTTGTCTCCAAGTAATGCTTGACTCAGATCGGTGGATCACAGTGCGTGTACCTGGGCCAAAAAGTCAGTACGATATGTGTAGTTAAACTCTAAATAATCCTTTGGCTGCAGCAACATTTTTTATGAAATCGGCAAATCATTCTAGTTCTGTGAGATCTGATTTAATTAGACCAGTTAGAAGATAATTAACTTTTGTCTTAATGAGCTTTGCTGGTTTTTTTGCTATTGAGAAGCACTAGTTAAAGCCACTGCACCAGAGGATTCATAGTGTGTTGTATCAAGCCATAAAGAACTTAACATTGTATAGTAGACTTTATGTGATCTGTTCAGTTAGCGAGGCATAGGCAGATATTGTCATGCATTAGTATAAAGTGTTTATATTCATTATTTTGCTAGAATAAAGTAAATATTTTCTTTTTGCATTGCATCTATTTATTGTCTGTATATTTTTACCAATTTTTTTCCCACTTTGTCACATAATCATCTCATTGCAGTCAAATCACGCACCAATATCCCAACACTTGTATCACACTGTTATAGCCAGCCCTTCAGTCACATTTTCACATTAAACGGGTACAATTCTGTATTAGTGAATAGAGGGATTTTTTTGTCTTTGGCATATTTATCATAGAAGAAATGCATTTCAATTTTAGTTTCTTATTCTCCGTCTCAAACTTAATGTCTCTGTTTTGGACAGTAGCTAGCTCTAAAATCTAATTAGTATTATGAAAAATACCACATTACCATTGGGTTACTAAGCTAAGATTATTTTTGTTGTTATTTTTGTCAGTCTGTTTTGTTGGGGTGGTGGGGTGTTTAAGATTTCAAAATAATGCACGTAATAGACCAATAACAATACCAGTGTTCAGTGCATTCAAGGGTATTGCTTGATTTGTTATGGGAAACAGGGATGATTTTTTTTTTATATAATCTGATATTCAGAGCATTTTATGTTTTCTATTTATGTGACTGCACAGTGTTTCTTTATGCTCAGCCTTCTTTGATACCCATGTCTTAAAGCTGGCTGTTAGACTTGAGTCACTGTAGCCCTTAGTCACATGGTAGCTGACACCACATTAGATATCACCTGTGTTTTGTTGAATGGATCACATTGTCACCCTTGTATCTTTGTGCCTCTACTAGATGGTGGAGAAATTCCTATGGGTAAGCTCTTGTCACTTTTGTCCTACATGGTGTCCAAACTCTCCCAGATATACAGCCACCATGGGTCTCTGATGTCCCAACCTCACTCTCATGTGTAGAGCCTCTTTCCCATATTTTAGCCTCTTTTTGAATTGAGCCTGTATTGAAGATGCTCTTGACATTGGAACTTAAATTTATTAGTTTGAAATTCAAAAATGAATTTCGATGAAATGTTAAAAGTTTTCAGGAAAAAAACCTGTTGAAGATACAGAACATTTATAAATGTAGTAATGTACTTCATCTTAGGGGTGTTTAGATCACTTTACCTGTTGATGAAGTCTTGGGTAATATTAGGTCTCCTTATTTCAAAGCTCAACATGAGAGTTTGGATGGCAGGAAATCAGTTGTTGCCTGTGTCATGACCTCCTGCCCGGCATCCATTTCATCCATACACACTTTCATCTTCAGTTTCTCAATGGCATGCCCATTCAAACATATCCTGTGAAATGTTGTCAGTCTCCAATTTTCAATCTTGCATGTAAAAGACATGAGCATGTTGTGTTGCCATTGATGTTATGTTGTAACCATGACAACCATGAAATACGCACATGTATGGAATGGTGTAAAGATTTCTTCTTAAAACATGCATGTTTGATTCTCCTGGTATATGCAGGATATAAGAATCAGCATTATATGAGATATATGCATATATCAACTAAGGTTCAATACTGATTATATTAATGACCTATTTGATGCATACTCAACCAATGAACTAGTTTCATCCCTGGCATAGCTGTACAAACTATCTGATATATGTTGTCATAATGTTCAAAGTTTTATTTATGTATTTTAACATACATTTCAATATTGTAAAATGTAACATTAAAGTGTCTTACTCGTTATGGATCCTGAAATACTAACCACCATGATCAAGCCATCATAGTGTTTATATATTTATATTAAGTATTTCAATATTTAAGGCAAATTGTTCATTCATGTTCATGATTGTGTGCTTTAGACTTGAATGCAAAATATAAGCCTATATGGAGGTCTAGCCACCTGCGAATACTAAAATAGACCAAAATTGAATGAAATGCCCCAGTATTTGGATTAAAGTACTGTCGGAAATAGAAAAAAACCCTGTTTTTTAACATATATATCTACAATTTATGAAGTTAAAATGTGAAATATCTGTAAAACTAAGTTCGGCCTAACTACAGTCTCAGTGGTAGGGAGATAGGAAACATGAAAAAAGGACTTTACTGAGGAGAGATTAGTGCAGAAATGAGCAATGCGGCTTTTTTCAAAGTCCAAAGCAACTTATTTAGAACAGACCATGGCTTTATGCAAATTAGTGTGAGATGATATTGTATTTCAAAGGACACTTTTCAAATGTCTATTTTGAAACTAGACTTAGCTTCATTATAAACGATAGCTGACGTAAAAAATACTAACTTTAATACTGAAACTATTAAGGATGTAGCTACCATGGAGCCTCACTGTCACTATAAAAAGAAACAGGTAGGAGAGGTCCTCTCAAAAGCAAAACCAGGACGGGTGTCGCAGACGGTGGTTGGGGTCGTACTGGGGGATAGAGATATCAGCTACGATAAGATCATCCTTTAGGGGAATTAAACTGGTGGAAGTAAACGGCATGTCTTAACAATTAACAAATAATATCGAGTCCTGTCGATCTTGGGGTGGTCTTGCCACCTATATATTTTGAGACATTTAATATGATAGTTCATTTAAGCTTTTCTATGGGTATTATATTCTTTTACACATCTTAACATAAACGTTATGAAAGACACGTAAGATGATAATCAATAGATGAAACATATTCAATTCACATGAAAAAAGCATAAAATATCTTTGAGATGACCCCTTGTGCCTGTAGGCAGCACGTGCATTTCATGCCAGGTGAGTCGACGGTCCGTCATCATACCTGGCTGAGCGACCTAATTGCCATCTATAGCCTGATCTATTGTTTTCAGCAGCTATTCGTATTTTTTGCAAGTTTTGCCCTATTTTACAAGTAATCATGCACTTCTGGATATCCTATTTTATACATCCCCTGAATGCCCAGTTAGGCCGATGTGGGTTATTTCAACATATGCTACTTGGAGTTGTGTAAATTTTAGGGATACAGAGTAACAGCCTAAAAACAGTTTTTTTCTATTTCCGACAGTACTTTAGTTAGGTGAGATGAATGCAAAACAATTTATGGTCTACCTGAAACCCATAAAGATCCAGGTTAGAATTGGTGTTCAGATAGCCTTGCTTGTCATAAGAGTATGACTATGTTGCTGTGAGAGACAAGTAATGGGATTAGGTGGTCAGACTCGCTGACTGTAGTGATGCATGTCGGCGTAGCCAAATATTTAGATTGACGC